CGGGGTTCTTGGCCTAGTTTCCGAGTATTTAATGAAACGCGAATACATTAGCCAAACAAACAAAATTTGCAAAAGCGAAGTGTGTAAAACGCCTACGGGTACAAGTTTGCAGTTTAGTCTACGCTAGTAGTATTGACTGGCAATGCTGAAATACCCTAATTGCCCCTAAAGATTATTTTGATCGGGCCTGTTAAGTGCATAAATTATAACCATGTGGTCAACATGTTAGGCATTATCATGTCTCGGTAGCCAGTTTCGATCTATCTGAGCTGAGGCGACGTACAGTTTTTTTAAAACAGCAAATCAATAAAACGACGAAAGTGAAAAATGCGATTGGGGGAAGTCAGAAAACTAACAACGAGAAATTTGGATATAGGGACAACACATTCATTTATTTCTGACATCTGAACTCCAGGTTATGAGCACAGTCAACTACTGTATCAGTAAAACTATCCTTCTGAACTATCTTCTCTTTTCTTTTGCAGCGAATCCTGAGGTTTATAGAGCGGTCCTGAACTGTCCATCAAATTGAGATCAGCCAGCAAGATTGCTTTGCCCCTTATCACGATCATATTTTGTACGGAAGAACACGCGTCACCTACCGCAAATTCTGTTCTCTATTGGGTTATTGTGCGTTATTGGGGTACTGATGTCACCGCATCGACTCCCCGATTCGCTTCTGTTTTGATCTCTTCTGGGGTGTATTTTTACTCTCCTAGGACTGTCTATCTCCAGTGAACTCTGCTGCAACTCCCAATTATTTTCATGTGTTCGATTATAATTACCATGAATATGACAGATTCATTCCTTTCTGCGTAATTTGACTGTTATTTCCCTTACTGGGTGGGGGGGCATTGATTCTACGCCCGACTGCTGCGACTCATGGGTAAGTGGAAAGTACAATTTTCATCATACGGGAGGGGGAAATTGGGGGGGGGGGGGAAGAAACAAACCCGCAGGCTGAGTGTTAGTAAGTGGCAACAGACCGTTTATGGCACACGTAGACGGGTTACTTATTTTCGCCGACTGTGGCATACGATTTCATCACCAGTTGGTTGACAGACTCGGAGGGTCGAGTGGGGCATAGCGAATTGAAGACAGAGTGAGGCCAACGCTGGGAAATTCATTTCAACAGCAAATCAGGGCATTCCTCGCCACAGCACATCTGACACGCTTGAGTCTACCACGGCCCGCTGTCGGTCGTGACTTGGAAGGTCTCAAACCAATGGGATGAGTCGGTCCCGATGGGAGTATGTTTGAATGACTGGAGGGCTGAGAGTCAGACTGCAATGGCTCCTTCCCAATGTGACTTTTAGGGAACTCTACCTCGCGTGTCGTGCGTGGCAGTGATAGACGGGCCGTCTAGCTGTCTCAGTTACCGCGCTAGCGCCAACTCTAGTCACCTTGGCTTTGTCTCGCCAGCGGAACAAAGTGGAGGGAGAGTGTGGTAGATGTTGCACAAGTCTGCCTCACAAATCCGCGCGCAAGTCTGCGGTGCTGTGTCCACAGTGATGTACTCCAACTCCCCGGGACCGCGGTCAGCGGCCGGCATTGCACCGGTCACCTTATTCGCGTAGAAACCAAAACACTCAAGACCAGTAAATTTCATTATTAGGGGCTCCTGTCAGCAAACGACTAAGACGCGCTGACCTGCAGTCATGTGACCGACATCAGTACGTCCAGACAGTCGCCGCCGCCTGTGCACCACGTGAGCACGCCAGCCCTCGGCAAGGACACTGCGTTCGGTCGTCGCGAACGCTGATGCTTAACGTGTGCCCCGCAGCGGGCTGGGCGCAGAGACGGTGACTTGTAGTGATAGTAGACTTGCGCAGCATCTAACGCACTCTCTCCTCCCCTCCCTTCCCACCTGGACCCCGTGTCAAGACAGAGTCAAGCAGATCGGAGGCGGGAGAGGGCGCAGATAGTTGGCATGGCGAAAATCCGCGCTGGACGTAGCACCACACTTCTTGACTCGCAACGTACAATGAGCAGAATTTTGCAAGAAAAAAGGTGGGCGACTCGGATCCTATGGAGTGGGAGTCCCATGGAGGCTAGGTTAAGAAGAAGTCGTTGCAGCTTGGCTGTCAGTCTGCCAGTTCGTCATTCCGCGCAGACACACACACACACAATTGGGCAGACTGCGTTGACGGAGTTGAGGCGTCAGTCAGCAGCCTTCCAACCCAAGAAGTTTGGCGCACCGTGGCAGTCTCAGACTCGAACCACACAAGCAGCAGAATAGTCATAGAGAAGGAGCCAAGAAGTACACTTCCCAGTTACGTGAGAGGTATCAGTGGAGTGTTTGCCTTGTGCGGCGATGGGTGATGTTGATGTGTGATGTAGGTGCTGGTTGGTGGGAGGTTTGGTTGTGTGGTATACCCGACGGTTGTCTAACTTAGGTTTTCATGAATGTGCAAGTGACCTAGTAGGCCCATGCAGTGAGTGAATGTGCAGGGGCAGTGTGGACAGTGGAAGTGGATGCGACGGACGGAAGTTGGTGCTCCACGCACTGGTTCGTCAGTCCGTGCGATGGATTCGCAAGTGAATGGGCGATTGCAGTGAGGGCAGGTTTGGACCGGTGGAGGTGGTGGTGATAGTGGCAATGGTAGCAGGTGATGGGACGTCGGAAATCGTCCCCTCAGTGGGGGGGGGGAGCTCGTGACGTGGTG